TGCAAGATGATGTTGTGACCAGGATTAAGAAAGGAATGCTTCGGTGGTTTGGTCATGTGGAAAGAATGGATGAGGAAAGAGTGACAAAGAAAATTTATGTTGCAGAAGTGAATGGCAGAGTCGGAAAGGGACGTCCTAGGCGAAAATTTATCGACCAAATTGGCGATTTATTGAAAACGGGCCAAATTAACCGACGAGCATGCATGCGTAGATGTATGGATGTGAAGGAGGCGAGAGAGGTGTGTCAGGATCGTGCCAAATGGAAGTCTGTAGTCTCTGCCTACCCCTCTGGGTGACAGGCGTGAGTGTTTATGTTTATGTACTACCATGTTTAGATGGTTATAGATTCGAATATCTTAACATCAACTTTCAAAAATGTTGTCCCTTCATCTGTTTGTTTGTCTGTAAACGCATCACGATTTATAAAACAAATAAATTTGTTATTTAAATTCTACCAAAAGCTTTCTTTATATTTAAAGTTTCTGGTTGATTGTGTGTTTCATTTCTACTCAGTATCTCTGTTGATTTTGTATAAATTAACAAAATAGCGACATAGTTTCCGTAAAATTAAAGCGTGGGTCGCGCCTCATCTATGCATCGCCTATGCCTCGGCGTGCCTGCGTCCTCGACAGAGCGTTGGCAGTGAGCGCTGCTGTATTGTTAAAAGCAAAGTAAACATATTTTTGTTCTTGAACATTAAACGCATTTTAGTAGAAAAAATCGATAAAGTACACGCACAATTATTGTTTCTGTGTAACCAGAACTTTTCTACCTTAAATCCACATGAATGATGTATTACGTGGCAAACAGCAAAAAGAAAAAGGATGATCGTGAAAATAAATCGTAAATAAACCTGCATGTTTTGTTTACATATGATTCAGATATTTTTAGAAATACTGTGGGAAAAAGCAATTTTGAATATTATGACTTGATATTATACCATAATTAAATTAGTTTAGTATTTTTTTCTATCAAAAATTGGATTTTATATGAAGTTTTTGAGTTTAAATATGAAATTGAACGTAAAACATCTGGAAAATGGCTTTGTGACATACGTACAAAAAGTGTGATGATACATTAACATTTTGCTGTCTTTGACACGAAATACTATAACACCAATAATTTTTTATTATAGTAAACCTAAAAAGTTTAATTTAAACAACATGAAAATCGTAAATTGCGTCGAAATATGGCTTAATCGATGAATAAAATATAAAGATGATTTAAACCTCACAATATATTCTATGGGCTGACTACCATAGACTAAACTAAGCAGAATTTACTGCCTTTATACTACATAACTTCCTGCGGACACTGATTTATATTCCGGAACCGCACGACGTACGAGTTGGACCAAATACAAGGGACGGTTATTATACTTTTAACTTGATTGCCCTCCTTTTTCCATATTTTCAATACTATAAAATGTTGAAAAAAATCGTAACGTTTTACAAGTTATATGCTACATTTTAATTTAATAAAATAATCAATAATTCTCCTCGTTGGTCAAGCAGCCGCAAGCTAGACTAAAGATCATAAGTCATTAGTTATTGGTTTTTCTGTCAATAAATTCTAATTAGTAGTCTGGAGTCTCGAGGAATTGCATGTTTCACCTTCTTGCCTTGGAAAGCATGTAAACTGTTGGTTCTGTACCTGGTCTCTCTCTTGTCGTGTCCGATTACTGTCTTATCATACTACGAGAATAAGGGTATAGAGAGTAAACCTGAGTTAGAGCAGACACTCGGGAACTGCATTCCTTACTTGCGTTATGTTTTTCTGGAGGACATTATGCTTCTTATAATTTTTACATAACTTTTCTCATCTTATTTCCGTAGATGACCATGAACATAATACGCCCGAGTTACTGTCAAAATATTACCAATTGGTCACCCTTATTCTATAAAACAACATTTGTTTATCTATTGCCTGAGTTGAAATTGAAAGTCAACCCCACAAGGAAAAGAAAACATTATTCTATAACAGTATATTATATAACCGCATTTAGATAAATTGTTTCAGAGCCGATGCCTATTTGCCTTATACATTAACCCGACCCACGATAAACAAATCGACCTCATCAATCTAAACCATATAAGAAGGGTTTCCTTTGACATTAAGTAGTTGAATAAAAAGGAGTCGAGTCAGCGAAGTTATTAGTAATTTGTATTCTCAGTTTAATAAAAAAATTATAATTTACCGGCGTCTGTGTCCATCCAAATACAATCTGGGCGTCTTCAAGACAGAAGTGAATAGGCTTTTGTTATGCCAAGAGAGTGCGATTTACTATCTAGAGATTCATCACCACTTACCGCCAGGTGGCATTGTAGTCAAAGTACTGTATTTGTAAAAAAAAAAACATTTTAGCGCCGGCTGTTTTAATATTCTTATGAACACAAACGCATCAAGTATCCTTCAAATACCCATTATTTTCGCAAATTTATGTCAGAATCAATACGTCTACATTTTCTTAATGCTGTTTCACGTAAAGAAATTGAGTGTCAAGCGCCCCAATACATATTGACAAAAACAGCATCGTGACATTGATACAAAAGAAGCCAATATATTTCTGTTAAAAATTACACGAAACAGGAAAACGTATAAATGTATTTTATGTTACAAAATTAAATACAGCTACTCATCCTTCATGAAATTGTTTAATTTTTCTCTTTTTTTTGAAAAAAAATTAAATACTGTACAGATTTATTTAATTTCTTCATTCTATGTATATAAGGATTGAATTTTATAGAGCTTTCAAACCGTACATTTATACTTTTATTACTTTCTTGCCATCATATTTATTTTCAGTGGCAACTTTATTCATTAAAATAATTGAAATTACTAGGATTAGAAAGAGCTTAAAAAATTTAAATAATGTAATAATTTGTTACGAACAATCATAGCTTTATATGTATTAATTAATGTTTTATTATTAAAGTACTAGCACACACAGCAGTTTCTTCAGTTACTAAAGAAGAGCAACAATAGCATGGAATAAAATTTCAACAAGAAAAATGGTTAAAATAACATTCTGTTATCCAAAGGAATTGAAAACAGTAATAAAAATACAAAATTGAAAGCAGAATTAAGATTTCAACTAAGCAGTTTTAGTGTGTCGTATATTATTACCAAAATAACATTAACACACACTAGGCGAATGTTTACTTTATTTTTTAATTCATAAATTGTGAAAAATAAAAACCACACAATACTGACAATGTCATTTTTTTTACGTTTGCTTCAGAGTAAAAGCACGAGCGTACCACCCAATTCAACTGTATAAATGACTTCCCTGACTAAACGTATTTTTTATGAAATTAACACATAATTAACTCAAATTAGATAAAATACCTAGTTATATTTTATCAAAGCTAAATGCGTAACTGGAAACATATCGATATCCATCCATCCATTCATTACACCCACAAAAGTCAACTTAACAACTTAACATAAGCCTCCATCATAGATTGCCTCACGGTGGGATTTTGCCATAATTGCCACGGTGTATTCACATTGTTGTCATATCTGGTATTTTGCCATAGTTGACAAGAGGGTTGGAAACCGCAGTTTTTTATTATTTTGAGTTGTTATCAGGAAGATATTGCTGCCCATCTCCCGTTTCATTTTTCTCTGCCGTCTCTTACGATACCCTCAGGACGATATGGGGTAGTGTATATTTTTACACCGCTACTACACGGTTATCGATGGTAACGGTATATTTCGATGTACTGTTCGTCCGAAAAGACGCCTATGTATCTCAAACACCTATTTATCTCAAAATATCAAGGTATTTGATTAATTTTTAACCTACTTAAAAAGGGGTTCTATTTGCAGAGCGTATGTTTTTATTGTATTTTCACCGCTTTGTCTAAAACGGCAGAACCGGTCAAAATGTGATTATTTTTTAATTAAATAGGCAAGGGTTGTTCTACTTAAATTTGTAAAATTACCCGTAATAGTGGTAAATAGTACGGATATTTTAATCTTAAAAAAAATACACCGTGAAAGATGAAAAAGTGAGGTCAAGTTTTTCATTTGTGATTTTGATTGAACACATCTACCTGGTCCACGTAATTTTTTTAATTTTTCAGTATAAACTTTTAATAAACATACATTAAGTACATACATACATATATATGTACGGCTGATAAAATAAAAATAGCTTTTGAAGTCGGTTTATACCTACTTTTTACTAAAAGTTTAATTTTTGTTTATAAGAACATAAAGTTAACACTAGTAATAATTGAATGCTAATTTGAGGCCATAAACTGAATGCAATAAATGAGCAGGGTTATTATTTGAATGCTTTATTTCTGTGAACGATAGTTCTAGTAAAACTTTTATGTTAATATACTATAAAATACTTTTGTATATATTTCTTTGAAACAGCATACGAAAGTAGTGCAGATACTCTACATTCAGATCCTTACTTTGCTTTAACTTTCCTTCGGCGTCTTTTTAAATTTCTTTGTCGTATTTCCTTTCTTATTTGTTCAACACTAACACCTAAAAGAAAGTTACAATTAAATTTGTGTCATACAGAGACTGTGTGTTAGAGAAAATTTAAAGCTTAGACAAGATTACCTCGCGCGAAAATAAATTTTATATTGTTTTCATTAATTTATTCATTGTAGCCCGTCAAAAGCCCATTGCTTTTCACATGCCTCACAAACATTTGACATAGTTGTCAAACTTGGCAGGGAAGTAGGCACCTCAGCTTTTGTTGATTCTCTTATGTTGCCATTACATTTATTATATTGTTTTAGATGTATGATACAGTTGCATGTGAAATTGTAATGAATTTATATTATTTACTATATGCTACTGTAAAATGAGTTCACGTATTCATTCGGGATATATTTTATATTAATTCAAACTTTATGCAAATTGTGGAAATACATTATTTTGCTCTCTGTAAATGGTTCATAGGTTTTTGATTTTTTAATTGCGTCTATTAGAATATAAAGATCTAAACTATCAACTGACCTAAAATAAATTTTATTTCAAAACCAAATGATTAAATCGAATGGCGGTTCGAGCTCATGTCTTTCAAGTTCGAGGTTTGTACTCTTACTCAATACAATCACCTAAATACAAAGATGAATTATTATGCAAATGTCACATATATTGATAAATTACTTACTTGTTTATGCTTTGCACACTATATCTCCAAATATTCTAGATATGAAATAGTCAAATGATGCGATTGACAAACTATTGGAACTGATTAGTTAGTGACATAAGTTTATTATAAGATTGACGATGCGTGTATACCCCAAGGTTTTGATAATAACGTAGTTAATCACAAATCATGTAACTAAACAGCGGTTTATAATGAGGTCATTTACCATAGTCTGATGTAAATAATTGGAATCTGAAAAGCGAAATTGTGGTAAATGTAAACAATAACATGTACATTTCCCAAAGTTTACACTTATATCTTACTGTAACCTATATGAAGTGAATAAATAGTAATCGAGTGTTTTTTTTTCTCCTATTCTTGATAGAAGGATTTGCTCGAAGTTTCCACGTGGTAGAATCAGTAACGATAATATTCTCAGTAGAACTAGCGTAACTGGTTTAGCTCAATGGATCAGTAAGCTGACTTCAGTTTAGTGAACTGGCAATGAGGCGAAATACGACTGGAAGAACCAACAACCTATGAGAAAGAAGGTTCTAGATTGACATTCTCTTACCGGTATAGAGTTTAGGACAGCCCTCCGCTGGATAATGCGACAACCTGGTAAGACATGCAGGAAATCTTTTAACCCACGACTCCGATCAGCTGAGCTTCAACTTAAAAACATCGTAAATTCTGCTCCATGCGAGAATTAGCATAATTGGATTATTTGTACAATTACCTCGATATTTGCATCTCAGAGACTATTGGGCGTATACGATTAAAATTTAGCATAAGCAATTCTATAGGCTAACATGGATTTTTCAGAATTGCATTCATAGCACAATCTAACAACACCTACCACATTTAATATCGGGTATGTCTTTCTATGAACTATCCTTATGGAGGGTAAATTGTCTTAGAATCAGAATCGCATCATTAACATTTTACTCTTTATATTCATAGTTAAAGTTATTTTAGTTTGCATAAAATAATGTTGAATTTTAAGGTCTTCCATTAATTTACTTATTTGAGAATAGTTTTTGCGATATATGATTCATAACTTTGGCCCAGTTAAATATTGATTGGCACCATAAAATAGATGCTGAATTTTTTCTAGTAAACATTAGACACATAAATTTAATAGATTATTAAAAATTAATAGGGATAATTCACTCACTAGATGGAGTCACGACTTTGTAGAGGTTGCTCCTTGATAGTGGTCGATGTTTAGCAGTGAACTTTGATTGTGATGAGGTTTTCTATTTCCATTTGTTGTGAAGCACCATGATTTATGTGATGCTATTATAGCAGCCAGGCTAATCTGCAATAAATAATATATACCCTGCTGCTACCATAACACAGAAGGCGAAGAAAACATTTATTTTCTAACGATCCCCGGCTACTAAGATACTGCGGGCTGCATATTGATGCGTGATAATTTGACGTATATATTTAACGTTCTAATAAAGAAACAAGAAACAGCCGCAAATATCATTCAGCGCCACATCGTCTTCACACGCCGCTATCGTTATGTATCCGTCGACCATTTTGAAGCCGTTTCTTTAACGCCGCAGCTCGCTTCTTCATGCTGTTCCGGAGCTGTATCCCACGCCGCCGCCGCTCGCCGACTACGCGCGCGCGCCGGCCTGCACAACTTTTATAGCCCAGTCCAGCGACGTAGATACGAGAAGATAACACGAGTCTCACGCCGGCAAATGGAACGTACATAATATTTGTATTTTTAATAATCTTTATTGGTCATAATGTATGTACTGTAATTGGCTAGGCAAATAAGAATTGTTACTATTGGTTAACTAACGATGTAGCCGGACATATAAATATAGGCTGGGTCGACGTAAAATTCATTCCATATGCCATATTCAATACTCGATACACCAGTCGTTTGCTCATAAAATAGTCGTTTCATTTCTCCGTCACTAGACCACTCGGAGTCTGTTAATAGTTGACCGCCTATCCCCAATATTAATAATAATAATAATAATGTTTATTTCTCCTCACAAATACCGACCATACATAATAAAAACTTATATATATATTTAAATACAGGTATGTTCACACTCATAGCCTAGAATCTGTGAAGAGCTGGTGTTTGAGATAGGCAATAAAATGCCTGTATTACAAATCACCAGGTCTCCACCCCATGAGATATAAATAAGAGCATTATTTGTAATTGACCGCTACAGATATTGTAGATCTTAGGATCATAATGTATCAATCAATGATATATAATCAATGTCAATATCAAAAAAAATATATATATATATATATATATATATATATATATATATATATATATATATATATATATATATATATATAAGTGACATTTTAATTTATATGTAAAACAAAAATTGTACTAAAAAAAAAGATAAATATAAAGTAACAGTGGTTTCGTAACCTCAACCTCATATTGTGTGTGTGTGTGTGTGTTGTGTGTGTGCGCGTTTATGTTAACATTTTTTATTTATAGAGTAAGTCTTCTGTACGGTTATAATCCAATTTTTTTAACCACTCCGCTGCAATAAATTTGCATTTAGTTTTCGTAAGCGAGTATATTGATAGTTCCTTATTCAATTTATTATAAAGGTTACTACTTTGGTAACAGAAAAATCGACGTGTAAGGCTACTTCTGTATGAAGTAATATTGCAGACTTTATCCTTGCGGCGCTGATTCCTAAATATCTCTGGTTCATATTGTAACTGGGAATGTTTTTTAAGGACGTATATAAAATATAAAGCTGGCGTACAGTCAGGACTTTCCATTTTTGATAGAGGTCATACGTTGGATAATCAAATGGTAGGAACGAGCTCATTTTTAAAAGTGCTCTTTGGGCTCGTTCAATTTTCAGTATATGTGTTTTACAGGCACCACCCCATGAAGTGATACAGTACATGAGTTGAGACTGGCAAAGAGCGAAGTAAACTGATTTTATTACTTTTTCCTGACCCACATATCTCAAGGCCTTAAATATTACCATTAATTTGCGTATTCTTGCCGTTAGAAGTTCAATGTGATAGTGAAAACTTAATTTATTGTCAATCATTACACCTAGATATTTAGTTGAGTCTGTGTTTATAAGTTTTGGGCATGCACAGTTTGTATCATTGGGATTATCACACAAGTGTGAAACAATTCGATGTGTAGGGTCAGGCTTATAAGTATTTTTAATGGAAAAAGTTATATAATTTGTCTCTGAAACATTGAGGGTTAAAAGGTTCTTGTATAACCAACTCGTTACAATATTCATTCCTTTTTTGAGCATTTGAGAAAACCTCATCCCATGTACTGCCACTGAAAAGAAGGACCGTGTCGTCTGCAAAGGTAATTATTTTTGCATTTGGGATTTTCATCTGACAAAGATCATTTATGTAAATGAGGAAGAGAGTTGGACCTAGAATACTTCCCTGAGGAACCCCAAAATTTACAGGGACTTCTTCGCTAATGATGTTATCAATTTGTACACATTGTGTTCTGTCTGTTAAAAAATCTTGAAGAAGTTTCAACTGGATGTCTCTGATACCAAGGTATTCAAGTTTTTTTAACTAAAATTGGGACAGAGACTGTGTCAAATGCCTTTGCTAAATCTAAAAATATACCTATTGTTTTTTTATTATTGTCAAAGTCATTAACTATGTAACTTGTTAGTTCGAAAACCGCATCTGATGTAGATCTGTTTCCTCTAAAGCCAAATTGTGCATGTGATAAAAGATTCTTATTTTCCAAATATTTTACTAATCTATTATTTATAATGCGTTCTAAGATTTTTGAGATAGTAGGAAGAATAGAAATTGGTCTATAGTTATTGACACAGCCTCTGTCTCCACTTTTGTGAATAGGGTGGATTCGTGATTTCTTATATATCCTCGGGAATACTCCAGTTGAAAGTGATAAGTTGCAAATGTACGCTATCGGAAAGGCTAGAACGTCCCTGTTTGCTTTTAGGGTCTCACTAGAAATTAAATCCAGGCCAACAGAGCAATTACTCTTTAGACCTGTTATTAGGTTACTTACTTCATTCTCATCCGTTAATAGAAGAGTAAAAGAGTGACAGCATGAATTTAAGACATGGGTTTGGACTGGGGGCATATTTTTATACAGGTCTTCAGCTAAGTTTCTTCCAACATTTGCGAAATATTGGTTAATACCATTTACCGATGCTTGCGGATTGTTTGTATCTATTAGTTCTAACGGAATCTCTTTTGGTTTATTAGTATAAGTAATCTCTTTAAGAGCTTTCCAAAGTTTTTTGTTGTAGCACAAAAACTTTTCAAACACAAAAAAAACCTGCGTTTTGGAGTTGAAGTTTTTCATAGTTTCTTTTAAGTTTTTTTTAATAGGGATGAGCAATAATTTCTGTATCTCTTATAAGTAGTTTTAAGCGTCTCATTATCTGAGTCTTTTTTTAGTTTCTTATTTGGGTTATCTCGATTTTTCAAACATTTTAAAACACCTAGAGTTATCCAGGGCTTCAAGATTTTCTTACGTCTAGAAATTTTGACTTCCCTTGAGTTTGATTTAATAGCTGATTGAAGTATATTGTGGAAATAAACAGCGGCTTCGTTAACATCTTTGATCTCGTACAAAGAATTGAAATCCTTATTTTTTAGTTCTGTGTTCAAAAGTTCGAAATTTACGTATTTTAATACTTTTGCAGGTTTTTGTTTAGAAGAAGAAGCAATGTATAAGGCAACACTATAATGATCACTTAGAGTTGTTTGTAGGATGAGACAACGAGCTTTCAATTTTGTCTTTAATATAACATGATCCAAGCATGTTCTATTATGTGTGGGAAAGAAGTACGCAGGCAACATTCCGTGAAATGCCATCATATCTAAGTAAATAGGAGGATTTGCATCTCTGCTTTGTTTAGCTATGTTAATATTAATATCACCTAATAATATGACATTTCGCTTACTTGAATATTTAAGTAATATAATATTAAGGGATTGAAGAAAATTATTAATATTCTTGTATCCGGGAGGTCGATAAACAGCAATAGCTACAGTATCTTTATTTATAGTAATTACAAGACAATTGGCGTCAGATATTATAGGTTCATCCACTGAGATAACTAAATCTTTTTTATAATACACAACCACACCCTCATTTTGAGTGTGATTGTTAGTAGAAGCAAAGTTATTGTATCCATCCAAAAATTTTTTAAAAAAAGCCCCAAAAAAAAAAAAAAAAAAAAAAAAACACACCCCCCCCCCCCCCCCCCCCCCCCCCCCACCAATCCAAAGGAGGTATGCAATGAATAGATGATAGCCAGCATTCAGTAAGCACAATGCAGTCCCAGTCCACTTTTGTTCGAACAAGAATCGGTAGTAACCCAGAAAAATTACATTTTAAACTACGGATGTTTTGTTGAAAAAATTTAAGAGTTTTGTTCGAATAAGGCAAAAAAAGACACGCAATCTTCAGCATCACATATATTGGAATCTGCTACATTATAAGATTCGATTTCATTTTGAATTGTAATTAATTCACTGAATTTTACGGACACAGCTATTAGAAGGATAATATTTACGAGGCAAGTGAGCTATGGAATTGAATTTTATAGTAAATACAAAAAATACTAAACTACAGCAATTTACCACAACAGGCATCGATAAAACGAAGCAGATACTATTTTTTGAGCTAGGTAAGACATAAAATACATTTAAAATAAGAAAAATATTTTTCGTATTTTTAACAAATAATGTGTAATGTATTTTGAGAATTGTAAAATTAAGTGTATGAATAAGTTTGTTTGTTTTGTATGTGTTAGAAATGTGATCGTGTATATGAGGCTTATTAACGTAAAAAGAACTTTTAATATTTTTTAAATAAAGGCAGAAATATACTATGCATGCAACTAAACAAAAGCTAAGTAATACTAAAAAGCATATATTGCCTAGTCAGATATTTTTTTGAAGGTTCACAATATCTTCTTGGCAGCTCACGTGTATGCGAGATTCATTTTGGTTACGTTTCAGATATACTTTGCCAAACGATGTCCAACAGTTTTCGTAGTTGTGTTTTTTGGCAAACATTCTAGCAAGATAAAATAGGTGTCTGGTTGATGCAGTGAGGTGTTCTGACACATAAATAGGCTTTGCGGCACCATCCATATTGAAACTCGTAGTGCTTAAACGTCCGGTGTTCATTTTATTGTAGGTTCTTGTAGCTTTAATAACCTTTTCTCTTTTAACACTTGATGTGAAATCGACAATGATAGGACCGTTTGGTTTGTTTTTCAGCTTCATCCGGAACACATCACGAATTTCCGAATCCTGAATCGGAACGTTTATTACTGTGCCGAACTTTTTTGTAAATTCAATTAAATTTTCCTTGTCCTCGGATTCAGACATCGGAACATTTCTTATTTCAACTGTGGTTGTTCGTGCATTTTTTTCTAATTGTTCAAGCTTCCCTTCTAGTGTTTTAATGCGGTTTTTAAAAAAGTCATTTTCTTGTTGAAGTTTTTTTAAGTTATTTAAAACATCATCATATTTAGCGGACAAATGTATAACTGTGTCCTTGATTTCGTCATTTTGCTTTGATAAAGCGTTCATGGATGACTCCAAAGAAGCGAACTTAGCATCTTGCAATTTATTCATTTCATCCAATCTTACCATTAGGTCCGCTAATGTTAAATCGGAGGTGCTGGGTGGATTATTTAACCGGCGTTTAGATCTTTTTTTAATATTAACATCTATATTATGTTCATGGCTCTCGAGGGTATAGATAGCTGAATCGGATCCATAGTGTGTTGGAGAAATAGATTTGGAACTGTTTTTCGTAGGTGTGCGTGCAACTGACATTTTGATAACTTAAAAAAAACTTTAATAAATCTAAATTATAACGTTGTAGTAAAATAAAATATTAATTACTTTAGACCATACACCAATATTTACCCGCTAGCCGCTGACGCTTATAAATTGCGACACGCGGCAGTGCGAGTATGCGTGCAGAGTAGCGTTAGGATGCGTTCGTTGTCTCAGCTCTCAGTGGTTGTTGTCTTGCTCGTGCCGCTTCACTGTATTAGTTGATTGTTTTGACGCACTGTTTTATGCGCGCCTAGTACTTGGACAAAATTATATCACTTTTATTTATTTTTAAAAACTAATTTATTTTTTAAAATAAACACACACACGGGCACACGTCTTAACACTGTTGCGGTCCAGGGGGGAGAGGATATTACAGTGGTGACCCCGTTACGAACACCGAGAAGGAAGACTTCAGTATATATATATATATATATATATATATATATATATATATATATATATTCAGCGTAATCAAGTCGACATTATGGAGCAGTTTCTTCTCGAAGAAATTCGGAAGCTATCATTCGAAGTCGCCACGCTCAAAGCTTCCCAGCATCACACCTGTTACCAGCAACAGTACAACCAGCGCAATTAGCCACACCGAAGATCGCATTTTCGTCGCAACCGCTCTGAAAGTAGAAGTCGAACAAGCTCAACATCAAGATCCGCTTACTGCTACTATCATCGACGTTTCGGGTTCGAGGCAAGAAAATGCACAACACCGTGTACATTCAACAGTGAAAATACAAATACGGAAAACTAACTAATACGCTCGATGCGACGGGATTCATCGTAACAGTAAAGTCCTACCATCTTTTCGTCACCGATAAAAAAAGCAAGCTTAATTTCCTTATCGACACCGGAGCGAATATCTCAGTGCTACCGCCGAAACAAAGGCAGAAGTTGAATCAACTGGATTTTCAACTCTATGCAGCAAACAATACGGTGATTCCTACACATGGAGAAAAAATAATATAGCTGGATTTAAACCTACGCCGACCATTCAAATGAAAATTTATTGTCGCTAAAGTCAGCAAACCAATAATGGGTGCTAATTTTCTTCAACATCACCAGTTGATTGTCAACATCAAAAATAGAAGAATCATCGACGGGAAAATCAATCTTGCATCTCAGTCTTTCGTCCAAGCAACCAATCTGCCCACAATAAGAAGCATAGATGTTCAACCGTCGTGTCACAAGAACCTCGAAGAATACCCTGGAATCACAAGAATAACTTCAATGAAATTAACACCGAGGAACGACGTTGAGCATTTCATCGAAACCAACGGACCACCACTTCATTGCCGTGCACGTCCAATTGCACCAAACCTATACGAACAAGTTCGAAAGGAATTCGAAAACATTGAGCAAGGAATATGCCGTCCAAGCAAAAGCCTTGATCATCACCACTTCACATTGTACCGAAGAAGAATGGAGAATTACGAGTTTGTGGAGATTACAGAAGACTGAATTCTATTACCACTCCTGACCGCTACCCAACACCGCGAGTCAAGGATTCCACTCATTAACTGTCAGACAAGACTATATTCTCCACCATCGATCTCAATCGAACTTACCAACAAATAAGAGTACGCGATGAAGACATAGAGAAAACAGCAATAATTACCCCAATGGGATTATTCGAATTTCCAAGAATGACCCCAGGATTAAAGAATGCTGGTCAAACCTTCCAAAGATTCATACACGAAGGACTTCATGGACTGTGGGTGGAAATCGCAGAACGGGCCGACCTGGGGAGCTTCTGGGAACCTTGGCCTTGAGGCCTTGGACAAATTCGAGGTCGCAGGGACCCCGTAGTACCGGTACCGGCCAAAAAGGGGGGGGGGTATTACAGTCGCGGCCTCTCTGCTAACGGGGGTGAGAAGGATCTCGCTGACCGCTGAGTGGCCGTAAATTCCCTCACAACCCGCTGAGGGGGGGTGAATAACCCCCCGCCCCTGGGAGGAACGACCCCCCGACTGGTCGTAGGAGGAACCCCCTCCAAAACCAGGGGCAAAGTTGTCGGCAGGAGAGCGACGCGCGTCGCCTGTCAGGGGGCGTGGCCTGACGCCCCCGCCCGTAGGGGATGAGGGCCCGGCAGAGTCCCGAGAGGAAGCGCCGTTCGCACCCAGGCACAAAACGGCGTAGTGATTGCCCTGGCAGTGCGGACAGGGCCGCTGGTGCGGGCAGTCTCGTTGGAGGTGCGTTTTTAAACATGAGTAACACCAGCGGCGCTCCCTGGCGATGGTTCGTCTAGCTGGGACAGGCTTGCCTAATAATTTAGGGCACGACGTCACCCGGTGTTCGGCTGCTCTACAATAGGAGCAGGGGGGCGCCTCCCCTGGCCACTAGGTCACTATAAGAAGGTAGGGGGTGACGCCCTCCCGCAGGACCACCTCTTGGTCTGAGGGGGGTTGACGACGACTTGCCCGGGGGGTTCCACCTCTCCCTGGGCACGGTTCGGTTGGCAGTCCGTAGGTCTTCGACGGTGCCCGCTGCGTTTTCGATCTGCCGGCACTGCTCCTCCAAGAACCGCAGCAGATCCCTGAAGGGAGGAATATAGGAGGCGCCGTCTCCGCCGTACCTCTCCTCAAAATGGAGCCGAAGATCGAGAGGCAGGCCGGACAGCACAATACGGAGCAACAAAAAGGACCATTCGTCCACCGGTAGATCCAGCCGCCTCAAAGAATTGCAGGCCACCAAGACTAGATTTACGAGGTCTGACCGTAGTCTGGCCCGGTCCTTGAGCAGCGGGAGGTTTAACTGCTGCTTGACGTGCTCGTCCGCGATTCGCCGTACGTAGGTGTACCTTCCGGCAAGGAGGTCCCGAGCGGTCTGGTAGGCGTCGTCCGACAATTTCAAATGGCCGACGACGCCTAGGGCCTCCCCCTCCAGTGAGGCCAGGAGATAAGCCATCTTCTGGCTTGGTGTTAAATCCCTCCGGGCGTCCACTAGGCTATCAAAAAGTCCTACAAACGTTAACCATTCAGAGAGGACCCCGGAGAACCTTGGCAGGTCCAGAGTTGGAAGTCGTCCCAACAGCTCCGGCTGAGTAGGTTGCTTCCGAGGGGACTCGAGCAGGCAACTCAGCCGAGCCTCACGCGCGACACTAGCTTGCTTGGCCCCCGCCTCAATCAGGTCATCCGTGAGAGTTGCTCATAGTCGGCGAGGCAGGAGTCTATGACTCCCTGTTCCACTCCCGAGGCCATAAGCTCGGAGCATGCCTCCTCCACTACAGCCCTTCGGGCCATGACTTGCTCGAGCCTCTTCTCCAAACTATGGATTCGATCTGGTCTCCCTATCAAGCTATGAGCATTCGCAGTCCAGCGCAGTTCCGCTTGCAAGCGGAGCGTCGGTGACCGGTGCGAAGGCATCATTACAAGATACGATTATCACCAAATTAAATTCAGTACAAATTACTCTACACAATTAATTTAATTATTACCTACAATCAAATTAACACAGATACAAAATACTATTTATCAAATCAACAAATTATACTACGCAATTAATTTAATTAGTAAAGTACAAAGTAAGCGACGAAAGAAAAGAAAAGAAAAGAAACAAAAATTATTTTTATTACGTGGTTCTACACACCGATACACCGATCCTATCCGCTAATAAATAACACGCGAACAAAACAAAGAAATTATTATTACGTACTGCAAACAAAACACAACCAACAGTAACGTGGTTACAACCGCTGTCTTGCTACCAACTTTACGTATTGCGCAGGGAGACCACGCTCCAACTACCAAAATGTTACGTATTGCGCTGAGTGGTTGCAAAACCCATCAAGAGACCACGCTCTTGCTACCAAATGTTACTGCCCCAGGCTACCCTGACAATAGCCGTTCGGAACTCGGGCCCATCAGGAATTCCACTCGACTAGTAGACTAGGGGAGGGTCAAACGACCTGTGGAATATTAAGATATATCGGCTAACAAGGAAGAGAACAAAACTTACCTTTTTCCGTCGAAATAGGGTTAACCATATGTTGAGTAAGGGTAGGTAATCTTGAGGTCCCCTGGGAGTAAGATTCGGGTGGTTTTTGACGGCTCCGCCCCCTCGTCAAATGGGGTGTCCCTGAACCAGTGTCTCCATTCTGGTCCTAAATTGATCAAGGACATATCCGACATTTTGACCCACTTCCGTCAGCATCAAGTTGTTTTTGTAGCCGACATTCGGATGATGTTTCGTCAATTAGTGGTCCATCGTGATGACCGTCAATATCAGCTGATACTGTGGCGCGAGCGGCCTAGCGATACGATACAAGTATTTGAGTTGAACACCACCACCTATGGACTTCGGTCCAGCCCGTACGTCGCCATGCGGACCCTCCTCGAAATCGCTGAGAGAAAGCGTCTAAGATACGCTCGGGGGGCTTCTATTTTGGAGACTTCGGTCTACATGGACGATATTTGCACGGGTGCCTCCACCATCGAGGAGGCTCTTGTATTGCGAGACGAATTGATTGCCATCCTGAAGTCAGGAGGTTATGAGCTGCGCAAATGGTTGTCGAACTCTCCTCATATTTTGAAGGACCTCCCAGGAGAGGATCAACAAGACCCTCATCTATTTGAGCACCCTGACAATCCTAATTTGTTGACTGTGCTTGGCATTCAATATCAGCCTGTTCAGGATACCTTCACGTATCGAGTCAAACTCGATACCCCTCCTAAATCATGGACAAGCGCTCTGTGTTGTCAACTATAGCTCGCACCCTCGATCCTAATGGATGGATCACTCCGGTCATTTATTTGGCTAAGTGCTTTCTTCAAAAACTCTGGATATCCGGGTTGAGCTGGGACGACCCTATAAGCGGTGCTCTCTTGCGAGAGTGGCTCTCAATTGTGTCCTCCCTTCCAAACATCAACCGGGTCTCCATGCCAAGGTGCTTTCTCCCTCCAGGGAAATGCAGGGCTACCCTGCACGGATTTTGCGACGCCTCTGAGAAGGGATATGCTGCTGTTGTATATTTGCGGACTGTGAGC